GAGTGAGCTCGTGGAGCGCCTGTGGGCTGGGGAAGAGGAAGAGGCGGAGACAAGGCTGAAGACATTTGTAGAGATAGTAGAAGAACAGGAGTTCCAGAGGAACTTGGGACGGATAGAGAAGTCAAGCTATTGTGACTATTATTGGGAGTTCAAGGAAGATATAGAAATGAATGAATACTGGCCAGGTAAGAAACTAATTATGAAGCAGAAGACAGTTTGGGCCAGGTGGAGATGTGGAAATGCGATAGAAGGAAAGAAAGGTTTCGAAAGGGACGAGTGCAGGGAATGCATTTAGTAAATTGCAAGGTGCTAATGAGCAAAATTTAACTAGGAGATGAGGTGGCGAAAGCCTGGAGGAGAAGGAGTGGACTAATCGAGGTGCTCAGGGAGCGGCCCAAAAGCACTAAGGATAATGGAGGAGGAGAAGAGTGGAGAAGAACGTACGTAGTAGAAAATCAGGAATTCAATAGCATAAAAACCATTACCAATACCGATCGTAGAATTTCAATTTTCACTTCAAATTTCAATTTTTTTTCCAACAATTCAAAGTCTTTAATCGTTCTCCAACTGTTGGGAAATTTTGATTAAAATTCCCAGTGCACTTCTAGGGAATTTTTATCATGTGAAAGTTTTACTGAAATTTCAAGGAATTTTGTCATCGAAAATTCACAATTTGATGAAAAAATCAATGGAAAATGGAAATTTTAGTTCAAGTATTCCTGGAAAATGAATAGGAATCGAAAAAATTGTCTCCTTGTTGTTAAAAAAAATGTGAAATTTTATGCTCCCCCCCCTGAATAGAATTCTATATTGTTTTTCTAAAACTTAGTACTGCTCACGAAATATTATTTCATTCGAACAATGAAACAACTCTCCAAAATGAGTTTTATTTTCAGTGATCGAAAGAAACGAGAAAATCAAATATCTAAATCATGCATTTGAATAAAAAATGCAAAGAAGAATTGACAATAAACGCCTCGTTCTCATCGACAAAAAGACGCACGTCCATTTTCGGAGACAATTTTGTTCTAGCATTAAGGCCAATTTCCAGAAAATGGTTTTATTCCCTGACATGATGCTGTTTTGGCCCGAAATTCAATTAATGCCCCACATTCCATAATTTGTCATAACCACCCCAACCCCTGAAATTCGCTCCCCTCAGAATTTCATCAACTCTCCACCCCTCCTCCCACTCCCCCCACAAACCCAGAATAATGCGAAATGTACGTTCATCACGCAATGTAAAATGTTAATTGTCATATGAGATAGGATATTGTCGAGAGATGAAATTTGTTCGAGCATTTTCCTAGTATATACGAGATCGCTCGACTCTCCATAATTCGTTTACCACAACCTGCGTTCAGCCCGTCTGACGATTAACCCGAGCGTCACCGCGGGATGAATTACCACAGAGGCAAATCCCCGGATGAGGAGGTGAGGGAGACGAAGGGACCGACTGATGGTATATGGCACATTGTCCTCGGTATATCTATCCGAAATTATGGTCGATCCGGGGATCAAGGCGAGTGACAGGATCTTCAGGATGATTAATGTTTCCGGGTACACTGAGGGAAAAACGAGCGAATTCTCAAGCAAGTATTGTTTGGATCAACAATAATCGCAGGTTGAAAGCAATTTGAAAGTGTCAAACATGGATAATCACTCTGCTTTTAAAAACAACGAAATATTTGGCTCAAAAAGCGGATGATGCACACGAGACAGTGATTTTTCTGAATCACAATATCCCGTATAAAGGGAAGTTTTTCAAAAAATATTTTTTCCCCAAGTTACAAAATTGCTATCATATCATAATGATTTTATTTGAGAATAAATTTCTTATCTGAGAATATTGAAGAGTCGAAACGAAACACAACTGTCCTTTGTTAAATAACGAAGAAAAAGTGTTAGAAATGACATTTCTTGTTTATGCAGACAATAACAAATTTTTTGGAACTCCTAAATACACTTTGCGAAAAAAAAATTTAACCGCAGGACAGTCTTGAAATGGTTAGCACTAGATTTTTTTGGGAAATTTCAATTTGCGTTTTTTTGGAGTAAACAAGTCAGGCTTGAGAAAATTGTCTTTTTTGCTCTCAGTGTACACTTGGAGGGAAAAAACGACTTGTTCTCACAAAAGTAATAGACTTCTTCATTCGGGAAATTAAAGGGAAATATGTATTTCGTTCATCAAATTATCTTCGGAAAAATAATGAAAAATTCTAATAAACATTGACGTTTAAGATGACATACATTTGAGCCCTAAAAAATTACGATTGATATGTAAATTCGGTAAAAGTGTACGAAACTCCTAGGGGAATTAACATGGGAAAAAAGTGTCCAAAAATCTAGTCACTCTGAGGATGAAAAGGTGTATTGAATTGAGTCAAACTATCATTTAGCTTCCGAATGGAAACATTGTGATCGTTCTAATTTATGTTTTAGATTTTTTATGTTATATCGACCCATAATGATCCAAAAAGTCTGAAAATGTATTTTTAGTTCGTGCCCGTTCGTATGTATGTATGTATGTATGTGACAAAGTTTTTCGTCAAATTCTCGCTAATGAATCGATGGAATTGAATCTTTTTTCCTTCTTAAATGAAGGTATTGCTAACCCCTATCCATCGCTAGTAATTGAAATTTAATTCATTGATTAAGTTTTTAATTTTCGAATTTTTTCAAAATTCAGTTGTAACACGATAACTAAAAAAATGTTCTAAATTTATTGAATGACGACTTAAAAATTCGTCGGGATGTTCTTTCGATCGAGTTCGAAGATAAAACCGATAGCAGTAATCGTCATTTTGATTGCTGTGAAATTTTTCAAAAATTTCGTATTTTTCGGAAATCCGAATTCCGCAGATATCCTTGAAGATTGCGCTTCAAATGAATTCAATTATAGCCTAATATATTTGTTTCAATGTGATTATGACGAAGTTAAAAGATGGTTACAATAACTGTCTCGGTTAGTTTGATTTTTAAGATAATTTTTGGAAATTTCAAATTTTTCATAAATTCCCCTGAAAGTTAGCTTTCTAATGGTTCCTTTAAATGTGATGTTTCGACTGCATTCAATTAAGTATATATAAAATATTCCTAATAATATTTCATCGATATTGTTAGAAATTTTTAGAATTTCATTAAGTGGAAAATCTAAAACAATTAGTTGGAAAGAAATTAATTCAATTGAAGAAAATAAAACACGCTATGAATAATATGAAATGGAAAAAAATGAGCAAAATGACCATTCGGAAGCAAATTGCTAATTCATTAGCAAAAATAAATATAATATACGCAATACAGGAGGGATGACGCATTCAAATAAAACTCTTTATTTGAAAATTTTCCAATCACATTGAAAATGGATAAAAGCATGCTTTCATTTCAATGAAAATATTTCAATTATATGAAATACATAATTTGATCCAAATAAAGCATTATGTTGATAAATCCATTTCGAATGAAGCAAGTCTTTACTTGCATCAGGGAAACAGTTATTTGTAATTAATAAGCTATCTAGGGTGAATCAACCAGTGTTCGAACCAGACCTGTAATCGAACTAATTGGTACTTTTTCTATAAAATAAATTAGTAGAAGGTAGAGATGCCTCGCATTATACATGGAAAATAAAATTATGACATTTCCAAATGATATTGTGATGACTGAAAATGTCTAAGTTACCTTATTACCAGCGGAAAAAACAGTTTTCGATGAAACGCCGCCAATAGCATATTCCCATTACAGAATACGCATTTCGATTACTGGGTTTTCACACATTTTCAGCTTTTTGTATTCATATCATTAATTGTATCGTCAATTCAGTAGCGAAGCGGTAAACCGGGTTAAGTCGATTTTGACTTTTGGGCATTTTTTGACAAATATCTCGGAATCTAAGAGAGATAGCAAAATTTTGCTCATCACCTTTTTTATAACCCTCAGTTGGCTCTACAAAAAAGGTCATAACAAAAATTTTTCTATCTCTTTTAGATTCCCAGATATTCGTCAAAAACTGGCCAATAGTAAAAATCGACTTAACCCGGTTTACCGCTTCGCTACTGAATTAATATCCATAATATTTTTTTCTATTATCTATGGAGATATACAGAGGAATTATAATTATTTTTAAATCAATTTTCGATTTGGTTATATTTTTAAATCTAAGTCAAAAATAACTGTGATCTTATTCGTCCGAACACTGGACGATTCACCCTATTCAATGTCAATAGAAACGAAATTAAAAATTAAGTTTAATTCCGAATAAACGCTTAAATTTTCTGGTTTAACAAATCATTTTTTTACGTTAGAGCCTATCAGGAATTGATCGCATATATCTTATTTTTTCCTCCTCATAAAATCATTTTAGTGTCACCAAGTCGTTTTTCTCTCGCTATTAAATGAAAAATGGCAATTGAAATGATTTTGTCTCTGCAGTCTGTGAAATAATTCCGACTCTCGAGGTTTTTTTCTCATTCAGAAACAGCGGGGAAGGACGTTCGAAAGAGGAAGTTAATTAATGGATCCCAGAACCTCCGGAAATGCAGGTGGTCGAAAGGCAACGAAGAGAAAAAAGTGTGAAGAGGCAGAAGAAAAGTGGAGCGATTAATTAGCCCCAAGTAGTGGTGGAGAAAAAAAAAGGAAAATAATCAAAGAAATGAACGTTAACGTTATTTTAGGCAGTTCCTGGGTGGTATCCATAGGAAGGAGTTAATTTAACGGTCCTGGAAGTCCGGATTAGACGCCGGGAGTTAGTAGCCATAGTTGGGTTATCAGAGGATTACGTCGTCGCCGTTTCACATTTGTGTTCCCTCTCTGTTTCTCTCCCCTTTCTTTTATTTTCTCTTTCCCTTCCCTCTTTGTTGGTATTTACGTTCGTGCTTGGGTCGAGGGGGAAGAAAAGTTTTGGGGGATACATGTCGCTGATTATTCCCTACCTGGGAAACAAAATAAAAATAGGGGTGCGACGGAAAAAGAGGGCGAGGGATACAAAAAATAGAGCTTACCTCGTGACGTTTATCTGGTCGTAAATTTCAACTGTTCCTAAATTTCTGTATCCAGCAAATAGCATTCCATTGCCCTTTAATCCGGATCCACGGCCATCGATCGCAGCGTAAATAATGTTTTTGTTAGTAACAAGATATGTGCCCCAGTCTATGTGGAATTTTTCAGTCACTTGATACGTATCGGGTCCACCATATCTGGAATAGAAAGAATAAATGGCGATGAAATGGTGGAGAGTTTTTTGTGGATTTAAAGGGGTATTGGCTTTCATAATTTGGGAAAATTCATAACTTGAGGAGAAAATCAGTGGGAATTTGGAATTAGAGCTCAATTATTTCTTGAAAATTTTAATTGAAATCAGAGAAATCAGGGAAATTAAGCATAATTTGGTTCCACTTTTTGTGTTGTGATGAGACATTTAAGTGCACGGAGAGGATTTTCAAAAAATTCTAGTGCTGGAATTGAGAACTTTTTGTCAGATTTTTACGGAAAATTGTGAAGTAAGTGGAAATGTCATATATTTACTGCCAAAAATATTTTGCTAAAATTTCTAGTAGACTTCTTGGAAATTGTTAGATTCGGCTGTTGGATTTGTGTTTCCATAAATAAATAAATGAATAAATAAATAAATGATTACATAGTAATAATCCGATAAAATTTTTAGTCTCTAATTCTCAATTTCTATCATTTATTCTATTCATTCTATCAAAAGACTAGGATAAAAGTCGAATTTATGGGTATTCTTCCATTATTCTCAAAAATACATCGATTTTAAAACTTTCCAAAGACATTGGAAAATTATTTTTTTAGTTCTTCACACCCACTTTTTATTCGCATTTTTTGAATTTCTTCTCGCTGAAATATTGATATTCCTCAAATACTTGCAGAAAAAACTGATTCGAAGTTCCGGCCGGTGTAAAAGAAGATAAAATCCATTTTCTAGGCGATTATCCCTTCCTCATTCTTTTTTCATTTCCTTTTAATAATAATAATTGGAATCCGACCACAGGAATGAGGAGTACCGATTTTCTTTTACCATATGACGAGAAAAATAGATTTGAAAACTTTTCAGGAATGCATAGAGAGATTTTTCTATTACTCGAATGAGATTTCGAATGACTATTGTTTTGTGTGTTCGTTTTTATCACAAACAAACACTATTTATTGATCTTTAGGATAATTCCTCTTCATTCAATGTAATGAATGTATGTTGTGCATTGAGGAAAAAGTTTACATACAATAAGAATAAGAATTGATAAAATTAAATTAATCTCATTGTAAAGATGGAAATGGAAATACAATAAAATAAAATAGTACAAATCAATTTAGTGACGGGCGCGAAGCGCCCGTTTGCTAATTTTCAGGTAAGTGGAAATCTCATGTATAAACAGCCAAAAATATTTCTCTGAAATTTCCAGTAGACTTCTTGGAAATTGTTAGATACATATCTTGGCATGTTTTCAATCCTATTATTGGCTTTGGCTGTTGGATTCATAGTTCAATAAATAAATAAATGAATAAATAAATAAATAAATAAATAAATGAATGAATAAATAAATAAATAAATAAATAAATAAACAAATAAACAACTTCCATAAAAATGACGAAAAATCTAGTGATATTATAAATTTTTCTGCTCTGTCAATATTCATTCAATATCATCATACTATAATGTCCCTCTAATATCCTTGTAGACAACAGATTTGATTCAAATTAGGGGAATGGACTTTGACAGTTTGTTGGAATAATCTGGCGGCTGATGTTATAATCCAGATATGGGAGTTATATAATCAAGTGGCAACGTAGTAACGAAGCCTCATCAATCCACTAACCCTTGATCTCATCGGTCTATTATGATGGTGGCATATGATCGGGGGGGAACACCAGAGGCTTTGTAAAGCATACCACGCGACAATCATCCCCCGGGTCAATCGATAAATGACGGGACATATGCCCAGACTACGTCGTAAACCATCGAATATCGTGATTCCCCCGCGGGGTAAATGGCATTTCTGACCTGAATCGGCGATTCAAGAGTCGGTTAATAAATATTTTACGAAAACAATGGTATTTCCACGCCTAAGCTGGGGGTCGTTTATCATTTTATGAATGGGGGAAGAATTCGTTGACACGAGTTTATGGGGGGTAAACCCAGCTCTCGGGTGGAGGGATTAAATGGGAGGGAACCAGTGGATGATTTCATATTTATGGACATAATATTGCACTGGAGATCAATTTAAGGATATCCAAGTGTCTTACAGTTTTACGCACGAAAAAATTTAATAGAAAAACCTAGCAAATTCGTTAGAAAATTCTGTTGGATTTTCATGGAACTTTTTATTAGTTTTTGGCGGATTCTATTGAAATATTCAATGGAAAATATTCAATAAAAAGTCGATAGAATTCGATTTTTCTACACAACTTATTCGCTTCAGATATTTTCTATAGAATTTTGTCGGCTCAAATTTTTTAATTTTTTTTCATTTCATTTTGTTCTGGTTTTCAAGAAAATCAAACAAAAGACTTAGAAAATTTGAGCGGAGGAAAATCTATGGAAAATATCGCAATAGAATAAGTTATATAAAACAATAGAATTCTATTGACTTTTTCTATTGAATTTTTTCATCCGTGTTGGCACAGGACACACTTTAGATTCAACGATTTTCAATCATCAAATTTGTTAATTAAATTAGGGGAGATAAATTCGAAAAATAACTATGAATATTCAGCGTCATTCAAATGACATTTTGCACAGAATTATTATTTTTTTAATATTCGTTGTTTATATGTAAATAATTGCAATTGTTTACATTTGAAATCGTCGAGAACCTTATTTTTTCAGGTATGAAATCGATTTCTGATAAAATTCAGAATATGAATAAATTTGTTACGATTCCGAACACATAATTTTTATAGTGGAAAATTGAGTGTTTATAAATTATTTATAGAAAACAGGGGTGGGCAATAATATTAGATTTTGACAATATTAAAAAGGGATTATCTCATTATGTTGTTCGAAGTTTAACTATATTTCACAAATTGAAAATATTATAAAATTTATTAACTAAATTTTCCGATTAATGGCGAATAAAATATTTGATAATATTGAAATGTAATTTTTATTTAACAAGCTAATTCTAAATTTGCGTACTTGATTTTTCGATTATCTAAATAATCAATCAATCAATATTCCTACCTAAATTGTTGGTTGCTAGAATATTTCGAAATTTAAATGTATAAATTGATAGTTAATTTACTATTTAAAATTTCAAGATTTATGCTAAAAATTGACAACTTCACAATTTCACGGTAATTATGATTGATTGATATACATATCACTAATAGAAAATGCTCGTAATTTTCAAAAATTGCGCAATTTAAATTATTTCATCAATCACAGAAATAAATACCTGTATTGAGTATAAAATATACTTGATTTAAAGTAACTCTACCCTCACGGTAAATTCAAAAATGATTGAATACTGCAAAAAATTGCAGAAAATTCGATTAGATTCAGAATTCTAATTCTTTTTCTCAATTTAATTATCGTTTTGGTTTTTCAAAGAAATGTTTTGAAATCAGGATTTAACCCAGTGTCTTATATGAAAATCAACATTTCCATTGTAATCAAAGATTAAAATCTTAATTTTTCTTCATTAGATGTGAAAAAATCAAAGAATTTTTTTGACACCTCATAAAAATAATCCACCGTTTTGCAAATAAGTTTTATTATTTATCCCCCGTTCTGAATATTGTTGATACGGAGAAAATAGAGAGTTCTAGTCGTTTGAAAGCATTACATCTTTGGGTATAACAGTTGGGGGATGGATTCCTCAGGAGATGAAAAACGAAAGTGCACTGAGTGACAACGTGAGTTCGGTCATCATCAATCGGTGGCCGCTCTTTGAAACTTTAACGCACGAGGGGCTACTCCCCAACACCCCTCAGCGAAGAATTCCATGAATAATCTTGGTCACGTGTCTGAAAAAAGGGGATTCTCAGTGAGGAGAGTGAGATCCTCGTGGACGGCTGTGTCCCAGTGCGCTGGAAATCCCTCAGCGTCCCTCCGAGTCTCACTTTTCCTCTCACGTATCTCCAGTGGGAATACTAGCGTCGAGGGGATGCAAATATTCTCGTAATCATAAATTTCAGATCTTCTTTCCTCGATTTCGTATTGACAACGAGATTATGAAGATGGGGAGTGATGAGGGGAGATATTTATGCCGATGGCATGGATGGAATTATTGGAAATTCAGGGGAGGGAAATGGGGGATGTGATGTGCATTCTTAGGAAGAAGGGACTGGTGGAGGAGTTTTTTGGTTGAGTTTGGTGGGGGAGGGGTTTGCTTCTATTTTTGTGGAGGTTTTGTGATCGAAGCATTCACTACAAAAACCAGGTGTCTGACAGCTATCCGAACTTAAGATGTCAGATGGTAAAAAGCGTCTGAATCTTCAAAAGTGTCTGAAAATCTGACTAATGCCTGAAAATTTCAACCGCCGTTTCTGTCTGAAAATGATGGTAGACTTTTTTTGGGTCTGAAAGTTTTCAGGTATTTATTTTCAGATATTTTCTGTCTGAAATTCAGTTATTTATGAGTGATTCAAACATTTCACTATTGAGATATCTCACCTGATTCAGACGGCAAAGTCCATTCAAACATTAATTTTTAAGATATTTCTCATGTCTGAAAAGTTGACTCATCCACTGCAAAAACTAGGTGTCTGATAACCATCTGAATTTAAGATGGCAGATGGCAAAAAATATCTGAATCTTTAAAAGTGTCTGAAAATCTAACTGATCTCTGAAAATTGCAAACTCCGCTTGTGTCTGAAACTGATGTCTGTATCTTTTNTTTTTTTTTTTTTTTACGGCCTCGGAGTCCCTTTTTCGGGTCCCATTCGGCACTCTATCCAACCCTATGCATGCGGCTGTGGATTCTGCACTGTACCGCATTCGCATTTCTATAGAACATAGAAGTAGCATGGGGAAACCACAGAAAACCCATGCCGGTACAGGCGGTTCCTCTATTAGCAACCTCCCGCTCGCCGGAGCCTTCCGTTGAAAAATTCGGTTCCACGGGGAATCGAACTCACAACCTTTCGCACACTAGACTTGCGTCTAATCCACTCGGCCACCGACGTCGGTAGATGATGTCTGTATCTTAATTTCAGACATCTTGGTGTCTGAAATTGAAAA